TATATATATATATATATATATATATATATATATATATATATATATGTATATATATATATATATATATATGTAAGTATGTATGTATGTATATATGTATATGTATATATATATATATATCTACGCGGACCCAGGCCATCTCCCCACCTTCTTTTCGAAGTGATGTTCAGGTATGAATGTCTGAAGCAATTGCATAAATCCAAAGCTAGAGCCGACCTGCAACGCCCCCGACGCTCGCCGTCGTGCTTGCATACACGACTCTAACTTATAATCACTGTCAAAGTTCGGTACTTTTGCCGGTCTCCCCTGCAGATAAAACGACACAGGAGAGACCCGTGCGAGAGTGAGAGGATGATTCAGCGATACCCCAGCGTTCCTTCTTACACGCCCCCGAGAGAAGCAAAGGTAACTTTACGCATAAGGCATACATATATGTACATATGTATATATGTACTGTACGTATGCTTGTATGTAAGTATGTATACGTATGTATGTATGTATGTACCTATACACCTGTCCCGTGAAAGAAAAATTGCAACGCTGACGAGTTTGGCTTGCTGGTCACTTTTGTCACCAAACGTTCTATACCAGATGTACTACCACTCTCACCCGCCCCAGCCTTCCCGCTGCAACTGATTGCTCTCCACTGCAACTTGTTGACCAGATCTATTTTTATACATCTATTTATAGACATATATTTATAGAATTGTATCCCACTGAGCCACAACAGTCCTACCTCCCTGCCACCAAGGTCAGTGGACAGTCATCCCCGCCACTTCCAATAGCCCACCCCGTACCCAGGCGCCACTGAGATTATCGCGTTTACGATGTGCGAGAGTGTGAATACCGAAACTGAGTATTAAGTGTGTGGGGATTACTGAATGATCAAGCCATCTCGCATAGGTACTGTGTGGGGCGTTTGCAGATACTACCAACACCCCAGGACGATAGAACAGGCCTGTCGAGTAAATGGCACGTATAAAGCCATACTGCGACCAGTGCTTGAGTGCGTACATGTGATATATACGGCGCACCAATCAGCTGCCCCGCTCTTTGTCAATCGGATGTTCATGGCCCTGAACATCAGGTGTGCTACAAATAAACATTGTTCGCCAGTATTGGTTCCTTAGGCACCCTCGCGATACGTGTCATATATCCACGCTGGGGTACACACATTGTCCGCCCGTCGCTATGGCAACCAGGGATGGATACCACTCCTCCAGTGTCTTGTCTTGTACTTTCATCCCTCCTACAATAGCTCGCATCCAGCCGCACGCTACCGAACTAAGTACCACTAGTCAAGGATTTTATTTATCAGTCCGTGCATCCGCCAAGAAATAATCAATCGAAAACCTGGAAGAAGACTTTATATATACATTCATATATAAATACATACATAAATATATACATGCATACATAAATACATACATACATACATACATACATACATA